TGAAAAGTTCCAGTATATTAAATTTACGAGTGTAGTTTAAAAAGGGAATTAAATAAGTTTATAAATGGGATTAATTGTTTAAAGTGATTTTAATCTGTTTGAATTGTGTTGACTATTAATCAAAGAACAAATGAAAGTAGTTTCTCTTATTTTATACAACAATTACAAGATTTATAAATAGCATAACTAATAATATTCATAAATTGTGTTTAACACTTTAAGAAAAACTAAATATGCAAGTTAAAAATTGCATATTACTGGCCAGACGTGGTAGCTCACGCCTGTAATAAGCACTTTGGGAGGCTGAGGCAGGCAGATCACCTGAGATCTGGAGTTCAAGACCAACCTGGTTATCATGGCAAAACCCCATCTCTACTAAAAATACAAAAACTTAACTGGGCATGGTGGTGGGCGCCTGTAAGCCCAGCTACTCACAAGGATGAGGCAGGAGAATTGCTTGAACTTGGAGGCAGAGGTTGCAGTAAGCAAAGGTCGTGCGATTGCACTTCAGCTTGGACAACAAGAGCGAAACTCCAACTCAAAAAAAAAAAAAATTAGCTTAAGGATCAGACCTTACGAATATTGAGAGCTGTATAGTTTATGTATAGCTCTTGCTTCCTTTTTTTTTTTTTTTTTTTTTTGAGATGGAGTCTTGCTCTGTCACCCAGGCTGGAGGGCGGTGGCGTGATCTTGGCTCACTGCAACCTCCACCTCCCGAGTTCAAGAGATTCTCCTGCCTCAGCCTCTTGAGTAACTGGAATTACAGACGCGCACCACCACACCTGGCTAATTTTTGTATTTTTAGTAGAGACGGGGTTTCACCATGTTTGTCAGGCTGGTCTCGAACTTCTGACCTCATGATCCATCCACCTTGGCCTCCCAAAGTTCTGGGATTACAGGTGTGAGCCACCGCGCCTGACAGCTCTTTCTTCTGCATCTGGTTTTGGACCTGAAGTCAGCATCTCCAGGAGTTGGGAAGGGAAAATGGATTTAAAGTGGAAGAGAGCAAGAAAGAGCTGAAACTCTCACCTGTCTCTCATCAGAACTTACATTGGTCACATTGGTATCACATTGGAATCTTCGTCAATCTCTCACTATCTCTAAGCCTCTGACTTTAAAGATGTCAGTGACTTGTAGAAGAGCTGGCACACTTCACAGAACTTCATACAGAGTTGGTCCAGGATCCAGAAATGCTGAAGAAGAGCCGTCTGGGGCTAGAAGAGATGGAGGCCAAGTTGGTGCCCTACATGAATAATGTGAACCAGGTCTGTGCTGATGCAGGGAAACTACAGCAGCAGCGGCCCTATTCCCTACTTCCTGCCTTACTTTTGCCCTCCAGTTTCCCCTGTGGTCAAATCTAACTCAGACCAAAGAAGGAAGGGAATTCTGGGAGTCTTTGCTCCAATTTAGCTAAGTTGACATAATGCAAAGCTACCGTTATCCCCATTTTACAGAGGAACAAACTGGCTTGGAAGGTTAAATAACTTGCACAAGAGCACACAGATGGTAAGTGGGAGAACAGAGACATGAACAAAGGCAGTCCGGCTCAGAACCAGGATGTTGATCACTGCCCTCTACTGCCTCTCCCTAATGTATGAAAATTAGAAGAAAGCGGTTGGGCTTGGTGACTCTCGCCCTGTAATCCCAGCACTTTGGGAGGCCGAGGCAGGTGGATCACTTGAGTCAGGCGTTCCAGACCAGCCTGACCAACGTGGCAAAGCCCCATCTCTACTAAAAATACAAAAAAATTAGCTGGGCATAGTGGCATGTGCCTGTAATCCCAGCTACTCGGGAGGCTGAGGCTGGAGAATTGCCTGAACTCAGGAGGCAAAGGTTGCAATGAGCTGAGATCATGCCCTTGCACTCTAGCCTGGGTGACAGAGCAAGACTCTGTCTCAACAACAACAACAAAAATTAGAAGAAAGCAAGTTTCAGCTCAATGGCAATATGACCGGCTTAGCAGTATGAGCTCGCCCACAGTGGAACAAGCTGCCTTGCCAAGCAGAGGGTTCCCTGTCCTAGATGATGCTCAAACACAGGCTGGGTGGCCATCTGTCAGAGATATTACACAAGAGGGAACCCACTGGGAGGCGGAATGAACTATGTGACTACTCACAGCACTTTCAACTCCAAGATTTGATGTTTCTAGAACATACAGTTCAAGGCAAGGGCTGGAACTCACAGTGTACAAGGAACATAACAGAAGGGACGGAGAAGACAGAAACACTCAAGGGTGGGCTAGAAGGAGACTCAGCCAAGCTGTGCCAAACAGTGCCAAAATCCACTGTGAGAAAAATAAAAATTATGGTCAACCCAAGAAAGAATTGTTTTTCACACACAGGGTGCTACATTAAAAAAAAAAAAGAAAAAAACCTCTTTAGTGGTGTTTTTTTTTAAATTCCATTAATTGATTCCATCTCACTGAATTGACAGGCCATTTTTGTTGTTGTGTAGGTGTGATCTTTAAAAGACCTGTGAAAAGCCCAGGCGTGGTGGCTCATGCCTATCATCCAAGCACTTTGGAGGCCAAGGCAGGAGGATCACCTGAGGTTGGGAGTTCAAGACCAGCCTGACCAACATGGTGAAAGCCTGTTTTTATTTAAAAAAAAAACAATTTTTTTTAAAAGACCTATGAAAAGACTGCAAATTAAGACATGCTATCCACCGACTCTTTAAAATGAAAGTTTAATCAATCGAAGGCATGACAAAAAGTTTGAAGCAAATATCCAAATCTTTCAAAGAATGGCTTAGAAAAGAATTTTCACATTTGAATCTCTGCCAGCATAAACACATAATAGTGAACCTTATGTCTTGGTTATAGTTTTAAAAATTAAAAGAAAAAGGCAGTGATTACTCCAGTGTTTCTGTAGCAGATGCATCCTGATAGCATCTTTCCAAAGCAGATATTGCAATAATTTTCTTTCCTCCCCTCAAATTCTACACAAGCTGCTCCACCAACTATGCAAATTGGAGGTCATAGAAAATCAAGGTAAAGGCGTTACATGAAATTGACTTCTCATTAAGAAAATTACAAAGCTGTAAAGTTTATGAAATAACAATTAAAATCTCAAAGCCAATAGATAGAAATGTAATCCCATGAGAAGGATTATTGCAGTGTGGCAGATATCTCTTTCCACCCTTCTCTGCCTGGAAAAGATATCTCTTTCCACCTTTCTCTACCCAGGTGGCTGACTTGAATGGCGCGCAATTAGTGGGAATTACTGTTCTCTGGTTTCCAGTGGGGTTTAGCCAATGAGCAGTCCCAGAAGATCAGAGGGAGGAAGGAGAGTCAAGTTATAGTATTTGTCCTCCTGGCATTCTTCTTTTGAGGTCACCTTGGGCAACAGAAGATAGTGTTATTTATTTATTTGTTTGTTTGTTTGTTTGTTTTTGAGACAGAGTCTTGCTCTGTTGTCCAGGCTGGAGTGCAGTGGTATGATCTCAGCTCACTGCAACCTCTGCCTCCTGGATTCAATTGATTCTCCTGCCTCAGCCTCCCAAGTAGCTGGGATTACAGGCATGCACCACCACGCTCAGCTAATTTTTGTATTTTTAGTAGAGACAGGGTTTCACTATGTTGGTAAGGCTGGTCTTGAACCCTTAACCTCAGGTCATCCTCCCATCTCAGCCTCAAGCAGTGCTAGGATTACAGGCATGAGCCACCACACTCACCCAGATAGTGTTCTTAAGGCATCTCTCGCTCTCTCTCCAACTCTCTCTCTTTCTCATCCCATTGTCAGTATACATGGTAAAGGCTCTCCACTGTTAAAAGACTCAGGGGACTGCACTCTCCCCTGTGACCTCCCTACTTCTTGCCCCACACCTTTGTAAGCAGTCCGTTTATTAAACCTTTCTCAAATTATGTTAATTAGAGAATGCCTTCTGTTTCTTGCTTGGCTCCTGACTGATACACACAGAATCATTAAAATACTGGTAATTGTCAAATCTCAACATTAATGCTATGTCCACCATTTTCAGAAAGTTAGATTCTCACATCCCTTTTTTCAATGTCTTTTAAACATCTTTTCACAAAGATTCTCACATTTCTACTTCTGAAAATTCTAATTATGAGTGAGATGATTACAGCTAGTGTTTGGTGTTATTAATATTTCACATTCTGGAGCCAGAATGCCTGGGTTGAATCTCAGCTCTGATGCACACTAGTTCTGTAATTTGGGCAAATCATCTAACCCAGTGATTCTCAACCTGGGGGTAGTTTTGCCTCACAGGGAACATTTGGCAACATCTGCAGACATTTTGATTGTCACATCTAGGGTGGAGGAATGATGTTATGGCACCTAGTCATGGGTAGACAACAGAGATGCTTCTAAACATTATTCAAATGCACAGGACAGTCCCCCGCTACAAAGAATTATAGGGTCCAAAATGTCAACAGTGCCAATAGGTTGAGAAACCCTGATGTGACCCTTCCGTGCCTCCACTTCCTGATCTATAAAGAGTAGTTAACATCAGCACATACCTCATGGGATTGTCTGAAGGTTCAGTAAGCCAATACATGCAAAGCACTTAGAACAATGCCTGGGATATAGTATGTGCTCAATAAATGCAAGCTGACATTGTCATCTTCACCATCATGATCAGGCTCTCCAGATCTCCTGGTACAAAAGAGGACTTGCTCAAAGGCAGGCAGTTAGAAATTCATTATGAAAGACAATTCACTAAAGCACTGCAAAAGCAGAGATCTTGCTGGACGTGGTGGCTCACACCTGTAAGCCCAGCACTTTGGGAGGCTGAGGCAGGCAGATCACCTGAGGTTGGGAGTTCAAGACCAACCTGACCAACATGGAGAAACTCTGTCTCTACTGAAAATATATAATTAGCTGGGTGCGGTAGCAGATGCCTGTAGTCCCAGCTACTCAGGAGGAGGCTGAGGCAGGAGAATCACTTGAACCTGGGAGGTGGAGGTTGCGGTGGGCCGAGATCGTGCCATTGCACTCCAGCCTGGGCAACAAGAGCAAAACTCTGTCTCAAAAAAGAAAGAAAGAATCTGGCAGTGGAGATACCATGATCACAAAGGTGACTTTCCCAGGGCGAGGCTTATCGTTGCACTCCGGATGTGCTGACCCCTGTGATTTCCCCAAATGTGGGAAACTCAACTGCATGATTTGTGGTAGTGGGAGACTGCATTGGCGCTTTCCCTTGGTAAAAAGAAATATTAAAAAAACTAATAAAAATTAAAATAAAGAAAGAAAGGAGAGATCTTGCCTGACTTTATTCTACTGTATCCTCAGTACCTTAGTGTCTAGCATATATTGTATTTGTTGAATATATTGCACTGGCTGGAATTCCTTACACACACACAGTAGGTGCTCAGCGGTAGTGGTGGCAGTGGTGGTTATAATGGATTTCATGACAGAATGTCTTTTGAGCCTGAAAACAAGAACCAGTGGGTATCTTCTTTCAATTTCTTGCTCAAATCTTTTTAATTTTGTTCAACAACTGTTCAACAACTCAAGGCCAAGAAGAAACTCACAGATAAGTTACATGATTTCTAAAATTGCAGAATGCATATTTATATTTTCCACATATTTTTAAAAGGTATTGATTTAGAATTATCCTAAGTAGCACTTTAAATTTTTTTTTTTTTTTTACCTTGCTTCAGTCCAACAAAAGAATTGGAGTTGGATGACAATGTCTAAAAATTAAGCAAGATGATAAGGCAAAAGGGAGAATGAGGGTAGAAAAAAAATAGAGAAGCAAAGAGTTAGGTTGGAACCTTCCAAAATACCCTGTAAGAATCTAGCCCCCTGCTGGAAGGTCACAAATTTGGCAGGTAAATGCGGAGAGTGACACCTGATCCATCACGTATTTTGCACATTCATACAGTAAAAAACTACAAGGAAAGAACAATTATTCTTTGTAATTAAACGTGAACGTTCTCCCTACCCAGAGGATACTGAAATGAAATGAAATTAATCTCTTCAGTGGCGTCTTTATAGGGAAGTCAATGGTTTATGAGGCTATTCTTTACAACGTCCTGCAGTGTACACCAAAGGTATAATGCTAAAGCACAGTCCAATGAAAGCAACTCTATGAAAGGGTAAAACAATGCAGTTTGGGTATAAATCTTTCTAATAGTCTCCCCTAGTCCTGAGCTAACAGAGTGCTGTAAGGAATGGCCAGATAGGATAACCACAGGACAGTCCTTCCTCAGCTGAGCTGCTCACACACAAGCTCAGGTACAGCTGCACCTGGGTGGGATGATCTGGGTGGCAGACAAGTGCAGACACATGGTCTTTAGTGGCCGACTCATCAGGCAATCAAGCTGACATAGCTTGTGGAAATTGAGGGGCTTAATGGTGACAAAACATGTTTCACATTTATGAGGTATTTTCTTGTGCCAGTCATTGTCTCAAGGCTCTTAGAAATATAAGTCATTAGGGCCGGGTGTGGCAGCTCATGCCTGTAATCCCAGCACATTGGGAGGCTGAGGTAAGTGGATCACTTGAGGTCAGGAGCTCAAGACCAGCCTGGCCGACATGGTATACTACAAATATAAAAATTAGTCGGGCATGGTGGCGGGTGCCTGTAGTCCCAGCTACTCAGGAGGCTGAGGCAGGAGAACCACTTGACCCCGGAAGGTGGAGATTGCAGTGAGCTGAGATCGCACAATTGCACTCCAGGCTGGGCGACATCGAGACTCCCTCTCAAAAAAAAGAAATACAAGCCATTACATCCTTAAATCTTACAATTTCATGGTGGGAGTATTATTAGTAAATCTCCCATTTTGCAGATGAGGAGACTGAAGTGGTATAGTCAATTCTTGCAAAACGTTATCAAGCTAATAAGTGACAGTACAAGGAATTGGGCACAGGCAGCTCACATGCATGAGGTCTATATCACATACAGCATAAGAAGGGACAATGCTTCCTCCTCACCCCCACACTTTGTCAAGTGGTCTAGGCCTCCAAGGTCAACCCAAGTCCCACTTACCCCAAAGAACATTGGCATTGGTTTCAGCCCACATCAATTTTTCACTCGGTTTATTTATTTATTTGTTTATTTATTTATTTTTTGGAGGCAGAGTCTTGCCATGTTGCCCAGGCTGGAGTGCAATGGTGTGATCTCAGCTCACTGCAACCTCTACTTCCCAGGTTCAAATGATTCTCCTGCCTCAGCCTCCTGAGTAGCTGGGATTACAGGCACAGCCACCATGCCCAGCTAATTTTTATCTTTTTAGTAGAGATGGGGTTTTGCCATGTTGGCCAGGCTGGTCTTGAATTCCTGACCTCATGATCCGCCCACCTTGGCCTCCCAAAGTGCTAGGATTACAGTGGCATGAGGCACTGAGCCCAGCCAGTTTATTTCAAGGAAATCTGCATGCACTGCAGGGCAGCAAGGCAATTGCTGCTGCTCTCAGACAACAGTCCCTGCCTTCAAGAGGCAAAATGGGATCCCCAGACAATCCAGAGACCCCAGAATCTAAAAATCTAACTGTTAGATTAGTACCCCAAACAGGAAACAAGAAAAGGAAGAGCTAGATGAACGAACGCTATTGCATCGGGGGCCTCCACATACAGGAGGGATCTCCAGGTGGCCTGAGAGAGAAGGAAAGAAGGAGAGAAAGAAAGGGGAGCAGAGAAAGCCATCTTGGCAGGAGGCAATATACTGAGTGAAGGCTCCCAAAACCATATATGGCACAGTGCCAGGAACTATCCTAAGTGCTTTACACATATTAGCATATTAATGTTCACCACCACCACACATGAGGTAGGGATTATTATCATTCACCTTTCATACGAAGAAAGTAAGCACAGATTAAGCAACTTGACCAAGTCACATGGCTAATGATAGGCAGTCTGTCTCCAGAGTCATTGCTCCTAATATCTATGCTGTACTGCTTCTCTAGAAGGAAAGCGCCCTGCAGTGGAGCAGGCAGAAATGGTGATGGTAAGGTGAGTAAAAGCCAAGACAATGGAGAGCCTTGGAGGTCAGATTAAGGAGTTGCTAATTATGGATGCTGTAAAGGGCAGAATGCCAAGTGTCAGGAGGGCTTCAGGCCAGAAGATCCCCAATATGGGTACCTTGCTATTGGGTAATGGGGTCATGGGAACTATTGTTACATAACAAACCATCCCCAAAATTAGTGGCTTAAAACAGCCATGTATTTGTTCATGATTCTGCAATTTGGTTAGAGATTGGCAGGGATGACGTGTCTCTGCTCCATGTGATGTTATCCAGGGTCAGTCATATGGCTATTCTGAGTTGGGAGCCTGGCTAACACTGGAACATCCAAAATGGCCCCAGTCATGCCTGGCACCTCAGCCACGGTGGCAGTGGTGGCTGAACACCTGAACTCTTCCCTGTCTGACCTCTCTCTCTTCCTCCATGTCATCGCCCATCATTCAGAAGTCTAGCCCAAGCATCTTTATGTAACAGCTGGCTTCTAAGAAGGTGACAGCTGAAGGTACCAAGTTTCTTCCGGTCTAGGCTTGGAATTGGTACAGCATCACTGTAACCGCCTAAGGGGTTCACCTTGCCCGCTGCCTAGACAGAGCCAATTTATCAAGACAGAGGAATTGCAATAGAGAAAGAGTAATTCACACCCTGCCGGCTGTGTGGGAGACAGGAGTTTTATTATTACTCAAAACAGTCTCCCTGAGCATTCGGGACTGGTTTTTTGTTTTGTTTTGTTTTGAGTCTTACTCTGTCACCAAGCTGGAGTGCAGAGCCATGCGATCTCAGCTCACTGGAACCTCCACCTCCCTGGTTCAAGCGATTCTCCTGTCTCAGCCTCCTGAGTAGCTGGGACTAGAGGCATGCACCACCATGCCCAGCTAATTTTTGTATTTTTAGTAGAGACAGGGTTTCTACCATGTTGGCCAGGATGGTCTCGATCTTGATCTCAATCTGCCCACGTCGGCCTCCCAAAGTCCTGGGATTACAGGCACGAGCCACCACACCTGGCCAGGGGAGCAGAGTTTTTAAAGACAACTTGGTGAGATCAGATGAGCCTGTGTATCAATCTGGGTGGTGCCAGCTGACCCATCAAGTGCAGAGTCTGCAAAATAGCTCAAGCACTGATCTTAGGAGCAGTTTAGGGAGAGTCAGAATCTTGTAGCCTCCAGCTACATGACTCCTAAACCATAATTTCCAATCTTATGGCTAATGTTAGTCCTATAAAGGCAATCTAGTCCCACAAAGGCAATCTAGTCCCCAGGCAAGAAGGTGGTCTGCTTTGGGAAAGGGCTGTTATTGTCTTTGTTTCAAACTATAAACTATAAATAAGTTCTCCCAAAGTTAGTTCAGCCTACCCTCAGGAATGAACAAGGACTGCTTGGAGCTTAGAAGCAAGATGGAGTCATTTAAGTTATATCTTCTTCACTGTCTCAGTCACAATTTTGCAAAGGCATTATTTCTGCCATATTCTATTGGCCAAAGCAAGTCCTAAGGTCAGCCCATTTTTAAGGGGAGGGAAATAGACCTCACCAGTTGATGGGAAGGGCAGCAGACACATAGGGGTATGGGCAGGATTGTTAGCAGACATCCTTACAAACAATCCAACACAATGACACCAGAGAGCTCTGGTTTGTTGCTCTTGTTCTCCCTCTAATGCTCTGTCATCAATGACATGATCTCCGAAAATCCCCAGATTTACTGAAGGACGTCATATCGACATTTCCTATTCACTTACTCTCATCCAAATGACATGTAAGCTAAGGAAATGGTATATCCAAGGTATCATCAGGGAAAATCATTTTAGACAGAGGTGGTCCCTTGGGAAAGAACCCCGCTCCGGTCAAAGAGAACCAGAGCACCAAAGGTCACCAAGTACTCCACGGCTTGAGGTGATGGCACACTGCGGGGACTCTAATTTTCCTCCAGGACATGAGTGGGCAAACGGGGACCCTGTGGCAAAATCTTGCCATTTGAGCACAGCCATATTCATTCAACTACTGTTTATGGCTGCTTTAGCACTTAAACAGCAGAGTTGAGTACAGAGACTGCATGGTCAATAACACCTAAAATATGTGGTCAGGCGGGGTGGCTCACGTGATCCCAGTGCTTTGGGAGGCTGAGGTGGGTGGATCACCTGAGGACAAGCATTCAAGACAAGCCTGGACAACAATGTGAAATCTCATCTTTACTAAAAATATAAAAACTAGCCAGGAATGGTGGTGTGTGGCTGTAATCCCTGCTAT